TAAAAATAAAAATTTAAAAAAGGTTTCGATTATTGTCATTTGTGTTCATTTTAAGAACATGTTTACTTTCTTTGTTTTTTTGTTTTGCTTTTGTTTTTTGAGACAGAGTCTTGCTGTCACCTGGGCTGTATTAGTGGTATCATCACAGCTCACTGTATCCTCCAACTCTTGGGCTTGAGCAATCCTCCCACCTCAGGCTCCCAAGTAACTACAGGTGCGAGCCACCATGCCTGGAAATGTTTTTTTTCTATTTTTAGTGGAGACAGGGTCTCGCTTTTGCTCAGGCTGGTCTCGAACTCCTGCCCTTAAGCGATCCTCCCACCTCTGCCTCCCAAAGTGCTTGGATTACAGGTGAGCCACTGTGCCCTGCCTCTACTTTTTTTGTTTTTGTTTTGTTTTTTACATTTAAAAGGATGGCTTTAGGCCGGGCACTATGCCTCACGCCTGTAATCCTAGCACTCTGGGAGGCCAAGGCGGGTGGATCCTTTGAGCTCAGGAGTTCAAGACCAGCCTGAGAAAGAGCAAGACCCCATCTCTAGTAAAAATAGAAAGAAATTAGCTGGACAACGAAAAATATATATAAAAAATTAGCCAGGCATGGTGGCGTGTGCCTGTAGTCCCAGCTACCCAGGAGGCTGAGGCAGGAGGATCTCTTGAGCCCAGGAGTTTGAGGTTGCTGTGAGTTACAATGACACCACTGCACTCCAGCCAGGGCAGAGTGGAGAGACAGAGACTCTGTCTCAAAAAAAAAGGACTATTACTTGCAAACAGCGGGAACACAACTTGAACTGGCTTAAGCAAGAAGTCGATTTTATAGAAGGACGGTTGGGGTGTCTCCTGTGACCCAGAAAGGGCAGACTGATTGTTGGTGGGAGAGGTCAGGGTGGGTGGGCACAGAAGCACCAGAGCTGGACATGCAGTGCCAGGAGGTCTGCAGCCCGTCTTTGCTTCTCCCTTGGTGTCCACTGGCTTTTCTGTCCCACAGACTGGTTCCAGCCCAAGTAGTGCCCCTTGGACAGACAATGGCCTGACTCCATCTCAGGCCAAATCCCTGAGTTCCCAGCAGGACTCACACCCTGTGGGAACCTGTGTCCACTCTGGGCCAGTCAGCTGTACTGGGGGGTCTCTGGCCAGCAACCGACAGAGAGGACCTTGACACACTTGGCTACCCTGCGTCCCTGGCCTCCGTATGTCCTGAGTCCCTGTAAACAAAATCCCCACCAGAGGACAGCCCTCGAGCTGGGTGGGCTGTGTCTGGGTGGACGAGGGTCCCAGGCTGGACAGACTGGGCAGGTGCTGCAGGGGCCACCACCGGGGCCCTCACGCCCACTGTGTCCCCCGACAAAAGCCTGACTGGCCTCTTCCCTTCAGAATCAAGGCCCAGCTGTCAGCAAGTGAAACACCCTCTGGCCGAGGTTCTCATGCTGGAGCCAACACCGTGGCCCCCCCAGAGGCTCTGGCTCCGCACTGGAGGCCCAGGAACCTGCATTTCCAACGAGGTCCCAGGTGCTGCTGAAGCTGCAAGTCAGGGGACCTCACTTTGGGAACCTGGCCCTCAAGTGGGGAGGGGTCTGCATGCAAACCCGGCTGCCTCAGCCCCACCCGATGGGAGAGTATTGTGCCTTCCGGAACAGGCAGAGTGGAAGCCGGCTTCCTGCTGCTCAGCCTCAGACTCAGCGGAGATGGGTCGGAACCGCTGCTGCCCGTGGCTGGAACTCAGGAGAGCCAGGGCTGGAGGGTGCGCGGGGGGCTTCTGCATCCACCCACCGGACCCTCACGCTGCACTCATTGCCTCCCTCGTCCCCCAGCCGTCAGTGTGCACACGTGCCACCTCCAGGTGCGGGGCTGACTGCGCACACGGCCAGGGCGCCGCACTTCCAGAGAGCCCGCCCAAGGCCACCTGTTGTCCGTGGTGACTGCACAACCCCGAAATGCATGAGGTTAACTTGCATAGAATGGAAAACACGTGGCCCTGTTTTTCTGCCAGGCTCAGCGCTCCCTGTCCTGTGGACGTCAGCAGCTTTGCGTCTGCCTTAGCGATCCTGCCTCCCGTGGGCCCGGTTCCCACTGACTCATGAATCGAGGTTTCTAAATGCTTCTCGGGCCAACGCTTGAGTCTTTCTGGGCCCCTCGTTAGTTGGATGAGAGAACCCTGACATGTTCTCCCCCCATTTGTGTGAGAACGATGTTTCCGGCAGTCTGAGAGCATGATCATACCTAGGGCAGCGGGCACATTTCCTGACTCAGGGAGAGGCCAGATCAGAGTTCCCTGGCCCGCCGCCCGGGCTCTCCTTGCCGGTTCCCTGGACACTCTTCCACGCATCATTCTGTCCCCAGACTCTTCCCTGCGTCCCTACAGTGTGCTGCTCCGTATCTTGCAAATATTTGAGTGTAAAGCAGGGACACCCACCACGGCTGTGCTGAAACCTGCCAGGGTCACATGATGACGCGGGGCCAGACCTGCCCCTAGTGGGATGCCCCGTGGGGCCGGCTCTGGAATTGTGTTGGGGGGGTGCCCTGCCCCTGGAGACGGCACAAACCCCTTTGCTCCAGTCTCTTGCTGGCTGCTACTTAGTCTCTTAATGAGAAATTGCCCAGAGCCAGACAGGGAATGCTGTGGACAGGGCCCAGCCTGCTTTGGCCACAGACAGGGCTGAGCCGGTCTTGCATCAGTTGGACCCTGAAAGAAGTGGCCCCGTCATTGTTGGTGTCCCGGGTCAGTCAGACCCTGCTAGTGTGGATTCGGGGCAGTGGGGATGCAGGGGTGGCCGCAGCCTGCACAGTCTGCAGGGACAGGCGCTGGGAGCTGCCAAGCCCCTGGGACCCGGTAGAAGAGCAGCCTCCAGCTCCCGCCCCGAGCACCGGGACACGGCAGAGATGTCAGAAAAGCGCTCCTCGCTGGGAAAAAAAATACTGTTTATTGAAAATGAACATTCTCTTGGCCGGGCGCAGTGGCTCACGCCTGTAATCCTAGCTCTCTGGGAGGCCGAGGCGGGCGGATTGTTTGAGCTCAGGAGTTTGAGACCAGCCTGAGCAAGAGCGAGACCCCGTCTCTACCAAAAATAGAAAGAAATTAATTGGACAACTAAAAATATATAGAGAAATTAGCTGGGCATGGTGGCGCATGCCTGTAGTCCCAGCTACTTGGGAGGCTGAGGCAGGAGGATCGCCTGAGCCCAGGAGTTTGAGGTTGCTGTGAGCTAGGATGACGCCATGGCACTCACTCTAGCCTGGGCAAGAGTGAGACTGTCTCAAAAAAAAAAAGAAAATGAACATTCTCACCCTGGGCCACACCCACCACTTCTTCCCTGATTGAATTGGAGAAAATAACCCCCTCAACCCAAAGATCCAAAGATGTTTCCTTTTAGAGCAAATCAACCGGGTCTGGAACACCAGAGGAAGAAAGCGAATGTCTCCTTATGTGTGAAATTCAATCCTAAGTTGGGCTTTTAACTGTGGGCCACACACGTTTGTGCCTCATCGAGGTTCCAGTGAGTCACCTCCAGTTTTTTGCATTAAAATCTCCACATGACACAAAAAAGAAGTTT